ATGTTTCCATAGTGCGGACCGAATCAGCAGGACCATCTGAAAACACATTTCAGTCCGCGTGACATTTATTATTAGGCTCTGCTAAGAGGGCTTGGTAAGAGGGACTATCTTCTGATAAACCTGCTATCAATTTACCGTCCTTAGAGGGTAGAAGTCTTGGTTGGCCTGGGCAAAAACCAATCCAGGCTTTGACCCCCGGAGGCGCGTACGGTAAACTGCCATTTGCCACTAAACCACCTCCGCCGGACTATGACATAGGATAGTTTTCCCTTGCATAAGCTCTGCACGCTCCAGGAGGAGTGTCGCTGTCGAAAGTGTGCGGCAATGACGTCAGAGGGTTAAGACATAGCGTCCTCCACCTTCGACGAGGGTTCCGCCTATTCAACAGCCGCTGTTTTTGGTGCAACAAATTTTTGCCCTTTTCTGTCGCCTTAGAATTGGCGGCACCGTCATCAGCTCTAAAACTGGCGGCACCGTCCCAAGTCAGTACCGCCTGTGCTGGGCTAGTAGGATCGTAGGTAAGCGGGATCAATTGAACCAAGTTTTGACATATTTCGGTGCGTCACTTTCCAGAACTGCTTGTAATTTTTGAGCTACCGACATCTATGACGGGGAAGCAACTGCACAACTAAACCAAGCAATTCGGAAAACTTGTCCGAGCATGGGCAAACTCTCCCAGTTCCCAGAAAAAAAAAGTTGTTTTCACGTTTCTTTCTGCTTTTTCTTTGCGAAAGCTCGTTTTAGCATTTTCTCCTTCATATTGAACACCTTATCCCTTCACCGTAGTACACCCTTCGAAAAGCCTGCTAAAAAAACAGAAGTAGTCAGCACACAAATATACATCTTGTTAGCTGCGGTGGATGCAGGGCGTGTAATCCCTTTTCTACCTTGTTATCGCTTACCCAATTCCACAATTGGTGGAGAATGGATCTTACCGCGACAAACCCAGCCCCTGACACGCCCCAGCATCATCAGTCATCAAGACAGTATGCAGAGCTTCAAAGCGAACTAACCGCTTGGGGCGGAACGATTTCATAGCCACTTTCCCACCAATCGCTATCGCTTGCCTCCTTCAGTAATGGGTGGAGAACGGGTCGTACCGCGCCAAACCCAGTCGCTCGACACGCCCCAACATTCGTAGCGAACAAGACTGCATGCAGACCTTCAAAACGAACTAGACGCCTGCGAAACGTTTCATTGACACGCTCAAGTCAGCCATCAAACTATCAATATGAGCTAATATTGTCAAATCAACCTACCATAGTACTTTCCTAATCGTTCGTCTACGAATAGAATGTCGTTTTCGCTCGAGTCACGCAGTTTACTGTAGGTCAACGCTCCTTGCATAACAGAAGGTGGCTTCTGAAAAGAACTCATTCAGAAGAAAAGGTGTTGGTCGCTCCGTGCTCATGAATGACCAGTTCCTTCTAGCCGTGCAGGAGGGACAGTAGGCAGACAAGTAAATTCCAAACGATGAAAGTTCAACGAAAAAAAGGCAAGGAACGAAAGTTGCCCGTTCGTTTTTTTTTCGTTCCCAGTGACGAGTGACAATTTCACCTATAAGGTGACGTCTAACTTGCACATTCGGAGCATTTTTCCGAGAGGGGCGAGGCTCCTACGAAGTAGGTGAAGCTTCCCAAGGTGGGCGGGGCTTTTTGTAGCAGTCCAAAAATGTGAAAGCTTTGAAGAAATACCGAAATTCTGCAAAAACATGCAAAAGTGGGCGTGGTAAGAGGGACGGAGCTGGATGTGTGAGTGCAGGAATACGAGTAAATTTGTTGTGTGAAGAGTGGATGTGAAATTAAGGAGGTTGGAAAAAGTTATGAAAACCCGAATTCGCAACAAACCTCTGAAAAGTGGGCGGAGTTGTCCACGCGCCGATGTACAGTCCTTTTTAGTTAGTGTGTATAGGCGCAAAGTCAAAAGTGCAGAAAAAGTCACAGAAGTAGAAGTTATGAAACAAATTTTGAAAATCTATGTCCGCGCTGACAAGTAGGCGTGGCCGTCGGGGCGGGGCTCGCAGTGGTGTCTGGCGTGATCTGGTTGATGAATTGCCCGGTCTAAAAGTGTGGTGAATTTGATTTGAAAAGTGGTGAATTTGGTTTGAAAAGTGGTGAATTTGGTTTGAAAAGTGGTGAATTTGGTTTGAAAAAGGGTGAATTTGAAAGTGAAAATGGTGTATAAACTCAGTATTTCTTAGCTGTTTGCTACAATAATAAGGTGTAGGCTTACTTTGTTCCTCCGAACACACAACAGCACCATCTTTCTACCAACATAATGCACTTTTCGTAGAAGATCGGCAGCCATTTCTATGGCCATCGTGGTCAGAGCGAGACCAATTCCAGTATAACAAAACGTGATGAAAAGGTAGTCAAAACTGGAATGAATGAAGTTTTATTCGGTAGTTATTGTGGATTTTTTCAAAGACACATTTCCCGACTACAGTTCTTTGAGTTTGGGGTTCGAATATAAATTTTTAGGTGTAATTGGCGTGTAGTTGGAGAAAATAGCATCGAAAACTGTTTAAGAAGCATTCAGTTAGGCCTTAGGATTGGACGGGTTTTCGTGGAGCGAGATATCGCGGCGCGGGCGAGAGAACAGGAGAACGAGCTGGAAGACGAGCGACATGAAGGGAAAAGTCGGTTTTACAGAGAATGAGCGCTGGGTGTTACATTTGTGTTTACAGATGTGGAACCGCTGGTATTTAGTGCACGTCGTACATAGGTCATACCCAGCGAGGGGGGGGGAGTCACATTGGGTCGCTGACGGAGGGGTAACTTGAATTTGTAACTTGGCGCATTTCTCTTTGTTAAAAATACTTTGCGTTGTTGATTTTCCTCGGCTTTTTCCGTTTCATGCGCACAGGGGGGGAAAAAAAAGTCACTTCGACCGAGTCACATATCAGCAAAGTTTTCGCAGCCCAGACAGAGGACGTGGATACGAGTACCAGGGCGGAAGATACCCAAGATGTTCCTCGATAAGCAGGAGCTGGCTCTCGCCCATCACCTTCATGTACACCAAAATATGAAGTCATCTCCAGTAGCAGTCTGACTGGAGAAGACCTTTGAAATTCACGTCACCTCCAAACAGCTGCGAAACTTCTAGTATGGAGTCACCCATGGATAGCTACCTGGAGACCAGTACTCTCGATCTGGAAGACCTCCAACATCGAGCAGCTCCGACAACGTCGCTACGGTCTAGGACATCATCTTCACCGCAGTCGCCAAGGCGCGGGTGATGGTATGGACCTGAGTACCTGGAATGGAAAGACCGATATTTTCTTCGTGAACCCGGACTGACTGAAGGTGAGCTGGCGATAACATCGAGCAACTCGAGAAGAATATCCTCCCCACATTTCATCGCCCGCACCTCCTTGGGAACTTTGTACTGCTACAGCATTGAGTGCCACCACATGGAATCGAGGCGCTGCGAAAAACTTTTTGCGCTACTTGGAATGGAGGCATTGGAGTACCACATGAAGAAGATGAAGTGTATATACTGTGTTACTGACTTAAACACCCCTTAATTACTAGTTCGGTGGAGGTGAACAGCGGTGTTTACAGTAGCGAGAAATCAACGACCTCGCTGAACTCAGGTACCGAACCACGGTCGCGTGGCAGAATCTTTCGTTGGCGTGCGTTCAGAAGGCTGTGGCGGAGTGTCGTGATAGTATTTAATATGGTCTCTAAGATGGTGGTGGAAATGTCCCGAACAGAATTTAGTGAAGTGTAACTTATAGTGCCTCGAATGTCAAGGAAGACAAAGTGACTTTTTTTCTTGCCCCCCAGCCTGTATATCTCCTTTCCCGTGTCCCACTTAAGGGCAGTTCTCGGGGAAAGAAATGAAGAACTCCAAGGAGATAACCCCAGAAAAGTGGCAAGTTGGAAAGGTGAATGGTAGGCAGGTGATTATGGAGAGGAGGGTGGTATTGGGGGAACTAGGGTGGATCATAATTTAGGCAAAATCTTTTTTACGATGCCGGACGTGCCAGGCACATTTCGCTTCAGATGGGTGGATAACTTCATGGGCGGCGCTCTCACGGTTAACGACGACCGCAGCGCTCTCGTCTCTAACGGTCCAGCGGCGGAAGTGGAACAACCTCTGAATTTCGGACCGCACTACTTGTACTGCGAGAAGATTCCACCTAGTAGGTAATCGCAGAATGTGTCTCTGAGACATTTTAGCCAAATAACTTACCTTTGTGGCACGAAGTCACCTAGTCCAATGGTCGTAAGGGTGACGAAATTGAAGTACAGTGCTTTGAAAAAGTCCATTTCTGGCTCATAGACAGATAATACTTTTGCTCCAAGCATCAAATAGCCCACAAACGTTACCGATAACGCTATAGCTTCAGCAGTCTTTCTTGAAATATACAGTGGCTTAGAATTGAGAGCGGGTAGCCTGTGATGTCCTAATGCGCAAACCTTTGCGATTCGTCTTGTGCAGAGCTTTCCTCTTCCTCTTCTTCATCCTCTGGGCTTTTCATGTCTCGAGCAGTAGCAAGCACACCATTATTCCGCGGTGATGTTGGAACTTGTATCTGAAAGGTGCAAAAGCCTGAAACAGATAAGTGTCTCCGGCACCAATAACCCTAGAGGGGCATTAAAGGGACTCCTATGCAAAACTGTCATTTGGGAACTCACTCATGACTCCTGTTGCCCTCATACTTGGACCGAAGGTCCTCATCTTCATAACCTGGTATCCGAAGAAGTCCTTTTTAATGCCCCGTCTGGAGTTATAAGTGCCGCATTCTCTTCCGAGAGGTACCTTACCTTTGACTGTTTCCGTTTACAGAGGTCACTCAAAAGGAATATTTTGCCGACTAACTTCCGCAAAAGTATGGAGAAAAACATGCCAAGATCAGCTACAGTTAGAAGAGTCAAGGGAACACCAACTAGACCGAAGAAGATAACGAATAAACGACCGTAAAACGTCTCAGGTGCAATATGACCGTATCCTGAAACGATTTTTTATTTGTAATATATAGTCGATTTAATTTCCATAGGAGGCGGGTATCAACTACCAAGGAGTTCGGAACACTCTACAGAGCAGCGCTATGTGAATAGTGCTGCTTAAATACGAATTTGCAGTGGGTATGATATTAAGAGGAAAGCAGAAGAATCTGTCAAAAATCCCCAACCCGGCAGATTTCCGGTATTGGATGAGTAGGCAATGAGTAGGAGTACAAAGTGGCTCAGCCGCGCATACGAGAGGTTACTTAAAGGCAGTTGTCACGATGATTGGGTGCTCGGCCTGAAATGCTAGTAGGACGCTATATAGTGGAATGGCGAAAGAACGGAGTTAAACGGTCAAAATCCTCGAAAGAAAGAGCTTCCTCTCATGGTGTTAGTAATAATTTCGGACGAGTTTTCCGCGAAGGCACCTTTCCTGGAAAAGGCATTATGCAGCGCCTGCTCAGGGTCGCGGAATTCCGTCCTGCCAGGCGTATTAGTCCTGCTCGTCTTGGAGGATTTATCGTGCCAACTGCCTTTAATGTCCTCAAAGTACAAAGCACAACAATGGAGGTGGATATCTACAGTAGCGGGGAAAAAAACCTGGAACAAGCCCAAGAGGCGCGCCTTTCAATAAAAATTGTCGGACCTTTTTATATCAGGTATGAAAACAATTTTTGGCAACCAATTTAAGTTCACATTGAAAAGCTTACTAAAAACGAGGTGCTTGATCAACGTTGTTGTTGGGGTAAATTTCTGAATAGGACTTCACGTGGCCCAGACATGTCCAGCTGAGTACCATCTGGTGGCCCCACTAAACCGAACCGCGCTGTATAACATATTATTCCAGCAAACCTGTCTTGAAGTACGGACTTCAATATCTATTGTCTTCCCGGTTCTGTTCATATGATACCATGGTACACTCCTTATCTCTGAGACGGAGTAGGCGTGGCTTTTGAGTATGGCATTGGACGGGTTACTCATGGGATACATCAATTTGGAACAACTGCTATCTTGTTCTGGGTCAGATGTGGACATGATTACGACTGCTCCAAAATAAACGACGTGAGTTTACGACTCACTAATAACCTGTGTGCGCCGCCCATTTTTAAAATTCCAAAAAAAAATCAAAGTACGCAGCCACGCCTACCCGATCTCAGGGATTTCGAGTATGTATCAACGCTTCCATGATTCCAAGCAAGAAATAAGGCGTGTTACTGTCACGCATGAGCCTTACTATGTGCCTTCCCTCATGCGTTCCTATAGTTTCAGCTACTCTGAAGAAACACAGCGGATATCCAAGAGAAGCTACATTTTAGAAGGGATTGAGATGGAAGAGGAAGTACTTTTTGTGGGCGAAGTTTGGGCTTGCGTGTCTGAAGGAGCCGCACGCGGGGAGGAACCAGAGATCGCGCCTGTTGCCTCTCTCGCCAAGAAATACTTTTTTCGCACCCTCCATATTCTACTTCCCTGAACAATTGCGAACCAGAAATGGCCCACACGCTGCCACTCTGCCACTACCATATATCGGTGTGTCTGGTCTTTGTACAGTCTTGTTTTCTGCGAAAGCTTGAACGTTTCAGGGGTGGAGGCTAGGTCTGGCGCAGCGCAAGGCTATTCTCCATCAATTGTGATACCCTGACTGCTCCTGTTGGTGGAGGACTGGTGGAGATCAGGCAAGCGTAACGCCTTACCAGCCCTGAAACCCCCGAGCAAACAAGACAGCACTTTTAGCCTCATTTAATTTCTAGAAATTCTAATGTAAAACACTTTTGATACAAAACCAGCTTTAAAAAAGACCAAATTTTAGCTCATACCTATAGTTGTTATGACACTAAAAGTGAAAATCAACGCGTTTCCAAATGACCATTTTTCCATCTCCATCGCAACCTCGTCGTCGATTGACAGTTCTTAAAAGGTTCTCACAATCAGAGAAGACTTCTTGGAAGAATGAAGATGTAGTCCAAAGTGATTCTCAAATAGCCTACGTACTTTTGGGCTTTTGTTTTTTCCGGAGGGCATTCGCAGGTACTTCAGTTGGGCCCGTCGGTGGGACTTCT